AAAAAAATTAATTATTATTTATTTATTATATAAAATCATATGGCCAAGTTATATATAGAAATTAAACTAGAACAATTAAATTCAAATATGAGGATGTAATTCGTATGATCATAACTTTACCACATCCTTGTACTAATTGGGAAGGAATAACAGGTTTGGGTATTGGAATCCCCAATTCCCCTTCCCCTTCTCCGAAGGATTGTTTGTGCTCAACATATAAATAATTAAATACGTAAATACTTCGTAATGTATGTTAACGAAGCAAACTTACTAGGTGTATTTTAAGTAGTCTTAATTTAATTTTTTAATTTTTTAAATATAATTTTTAGATAAAAATTTAATAATTTTTATATAAATAATAATTAAAAAAATTTATATAAAATCCTTGTTTAGGTTTTTTATTTGATCAGATAAAATTTTCAATTATTATTTATCTAATATGTTAAATTTATATTTAAAAAATCAAAAAATTAAATCAATACTATTAAAAATGAACAGAGGCAACATTTTTTATTTGGACAATAAAAGTATTAATTTTATTGGTGTCAGTCTTTATGTATTTAAAATTAATTCATTCTTGAGCAGTTTTAAAAGTGCATACCTTACATCAATGTAATGCATTTATAAAAATTAATTTTATTGAGTGTTAATCTTAAAAATTGAACCATAAACTTGTCTTATAAGGTAACATTTAATTACCAATGGATCAACCCTTGAACTTGTTTATGTTACCTAATATTTAATAGCTTAATTGGTAAAAATGTTTATTTTTTCATCTTATTGGCCAATATTCAATTCTTTCAAATATTAATGAAAATATAATTTTTTATGAATTTTTTAATATTGATATAAATAATTTGGGATTAGTTTCAAAGTATTTACAAACTTGACTGAGACATCTTGCTCATTAAATAAAAATAATAATAATTAATATATATTCATTAGGGTATGTGGCAAAGGTGAATAGATTTTAAGCGTCTATTTGGTTAAAATATTATTTTATTCGAAAAGTTTTAACTGAAAAAATAAAAAAATTATTAAGAAAATAATGTGTAAAAAATTAAAAAGTATTATATAAAAAAGTTATTAAGTTTTGTAACAAAATTTTGTTAAAATTTTATTAGATCATTAAGTTTATTGTGTTTAATAAAAAATTAATATAAAAAAAGTTATTAAGTAATCCTCATATAGGGATAGTTTTAGGAAGACTTTCTTTTTAATAAGTGAAAAAAAATTTATAAATTAATAATTGTGTCAATAAAAAAAGAATAAAAATATTATTTTTACTCTCTTTTTATTATAATATTAATTTATAAAAATATATAAATAATCTTATAAAAAAATTTAGAGAACATTGAAAGAAAATTTTCCCTCGACCAAAACACTCTGAATTTCATAGTTTTGAGATGAGACATTGAGGTTGAACTTCGAGTCCCAAATTTGATGGTAGTAATGTTGGGCATCATACGTCGTCGGTTCGGGCTTGGATTTGGCCAATTAAAATTTTTTGGATTTGGACGCAGCGGGGCCAATTAATTCCAAAACTAAAATAAAGTAACGGAGCATTGGCTTGATCTTGTAGCAGCGGAAGCCATAGCTAAATAAATACTTACATGTAGCCCAAATATAACCCAATCAATATTATTTTCCCATTTCTCCGTCCATCTTTTTTCTGGGCCACGCCAAAGAAGTGGTCCAAAGCCCATAGATGCTTCTCAAAATTCAAGTTCAACCATTCAAGGAACTTGAAAACCAGACAATAGGGTTAAGTTCTGAAGACAAACTTCCTGGCTGATACCAAAACGATTGTATCTTTCCATGAATGATATATGCATTGGCATTGATTTACCTACTGATGTATCTGAGCGATGCCTGAAGTTTTAGGGTTCAGTCTCCACCATCAACTGAGTCAGTAGAGATTGGGGCCTCGCATTTTGGACGGTTCATCATTTCATTTTCATCACTTCAAGTCAAAAAACAATGAACTGTTTTCGACTGAAATTTACCAAATCCAAAATGGGTATTTATCTATTCTATATATACATGTCAAAAGTGTGAAATTGATAATGGCTTGGCTTTGTTAGAAATATGCTTTAACTGTATTAATTCTATATTCTTGATTAAAGTTTGATTCCCGGTTATGGTTGGTGATTAATTATTAAGAGGTGGCAATTTCTTGTAATTAAAAGTATCATATTTCTAATTTGAATCCTGCAGGGCACCTTTTTAATTTACAATTTATATCTAATTATTGTTGTTGTTGTTATTTATAATTCAAACACTTTTATTTATCTAAAAACAATTAATGATTTATGTTCTCAAGTACTGTAGTTGTAACACAAATGAAAAATAGATGCACTTGATGTTATTGAAATAATATAATTTTAATATTATATAAAATTATAAATTTATAATATTGATATGTACTTTTTTTTTTTTAACAAGTGATTATATTGATATGTAATAATAAACGAATGAATTTATATAATATCACATACATCTCTTAATTAAAAAAAATTAATAATTTAATAATATATTGTGATTATAAACTATTGTAAGTATAACATTTTTCGTGGTTAATACTAAGCAAACATACACATAATAATTACATCCAAATTCAAAATAGGGTTGGCAAAGGTCGTAACTTGTTAATACCCACAAAATTAAAATAACAATAAATTTTGAAGAAGATCAAAAAGTCATTTACCAAATAAGCTTACTTTTCAACATCGTTATATTGAAGGAACATGCCAAATTTCCATTTTGTCAGAAGGGTGGCGCCTCTCCCAGCTTATAATACAAACATTTCTTTGGAGCCAACACGCACCCCTCTGCTTTTAATGCAAATACAAAAGAAAGAAATTCTACTCGTACTTTTTATGACATGGCAGTCTCTTATTCGTAGACTTCTTTCCCATATGTACACGTAGGCACCGCCCATGCCCACCATTCCGCAATGCCTTCAACGCCAAGGTTCCAATCTTCTTCAGGTGGTCCATGGAAATAAACCACCGTTGCAGTGCCCCTCTTCCCCTGCTTCATTTCTCGACCACCTGTGGCTCCCGGTGACCGTTACACCTCCTTTCACTCTCGACATATATATGCTTAACATAATGAGTCAATTACAAGTAATCACAATCTTAAACATATCAAAATCGCCTAAAACATTCTAATAATACTTATAACTTATTAAATTATAATTGACTCGATATGTATGCACAAATTTATCTGCAATATTTGGACGAGTTTGAAATGCAAAGTAGAAGCAAAGAGACGCTTGTTGTCTCTTTCCGATCATCATATTACTATTCATATAATCATAATTAGCCCCCACGTAGCCAAAATCATGCTTGGTGATCTGACACGCGCCACACCTTGACGGATTTGTCCAGGCTGCCACTGTACACAATCCACCGTTGATCTCCCTTCGCTGGCACCTCACGATCTTCTTCCACGGCCAGGCATTTAACAGGCCCGGTATGGCCCGTCAAAACGGACAGGCACGAGTGGATCCCACCCGGATCCCTCCTCCACACGCATATGCTCTTATCGGCAGACCCACTGAACACCAAATTCCCAGCCGCAGCCAAGCACAACACCGCCAACTTGTGGCCCCTCAGGACACCGCCGTGTGAGAGGTGTTTCTCACGTTCCCAAAAGTTAACGAGTCCGTCCGATGAGCCACAGTACACTATGGCAGCTTCCCGGTTCACGGCCAATGCCGTAACAGCATTTTCTTGATTCAACAAAACTTGCATTAGAAAATGCTTCGTTCCATCCCCCTGCAGCTCTCTCCTCCACACCTTCACCGCCCCATCCGCCGACCCTGTAAACACCATCCCATCAAATCCCACCGCCACCGAGTTTATGGCATCGTCGTGAGCATTGATAGATTCCAAGCATTTCGAGTCCGCAATCCGCCACACTTTCATTGTTTTATCCCAAGATCCTGAATATAACAACCCCAATTCTTCATTCAAACTCAACGATGATACGGCGTCGAAGTGTCTGATTCTCAAAACATTACGACTCCGACGAACTTCGACGTAGTTCTTGGGGTTAAAAGAGCTTTTGACAAAATCCTTCAAAGACGGTAAAGCTCCTACTCGTTTATGGACTTTTGGGCTTTTCTCTGACACCTTCCATACCCGGATTTTACCATCTTGGTGACCGGTGAAAATCCTGTTACCGGCAATGATAATCGCCTTTACCAATCCACTGTGAGATCTAAACCCGGTATACTCTTTCAAATTCTTCCACACCCGAATGTTCTTGCTATCGGATCCAGTGTACAACAAATCCCCAGACGCCGCTAACGAATACACATGACCTTCTTCCCTTACAATCGATCCAATCAGCCCGGTTTGACCATAATCGTCAACGATGCCGGGCGGCGCCATCCACGGAGACTTGATGAACGGTGAAGGATGGTTCCACGGGGACTTGATGATCGGTGAAGGATGGTTCCACGGGGACTTGATGATCGGTGAAGTATGGTTCCACGGCGACATGGCGTAGGGGGAGGCCTCGCCGCTAGTGGAGGAACTCGTGTAGTGCGAATACCTGGGGCTAATCAAGGAGAAGCTACTATCCCGGTTGTAACACTGATCATCGTTGTCGGTGTGATTGTTTGCGATAAACACTGAATTAGGATCGGGTTGCTGGAGAAGATCGCCGAACTTGGGACGGCTGTAGAGGCTACTGCGCTCAACAACCACCGTTCCACCACGTTCGTTCCTCATTTTCTTACCACCGGAAAAAAAATCGAGATTCCAACGCAACGATCAAGAAAAGTTGTTAGAAATTTTGAGAAAAAATCGTGGGGTTTGAACGAGAAAATTTTGTAGATTTAAACGGAAATTTGTGGGATGGGTTAAGCTGTGACTGGTTTATATAAATAGAAGAGAATCCGAATAGGCGTTAGGTGATGTGTGAGGATGAGGATGCCTGACACGTGGTGGGGGAAGCGTGTGATCGTTAAGAAATGGGAAACCGGGGACTGCAGGTAATTTGGAAGCTGGCCTAAATTTTGAGGCCCTCGAGCTTCATCGTTCACACGTTAAATTGGATAAAAATGTGAGAAAAGTATTTGCGGGTTGCCGGGACGGCCGGAATTGTATTTTTTAATACATAATGTATATTTTTTTAAATTCGTATATTAAAATATTTTTAATATATATTATATATTATATTTATTTATTAATAATATTTTAATAATTTCAATATTTAAATTATATAAAAAAATATACTTTATATTAAAAACAACTCTCTTTATGAGAAAAGAAAAAAGGACTTTTGCTTTTCGGCCTTCATAGAAAAATTGCGTATTTCGAGTGAATATGTTATAAGTATTGCTTTTTATTTCTTTTCATAATCCATGTGAAATGAAGGTGTTGTAGATTACTTGTTTGACTATAAGTTTCTATTTATAGAAAGAAATTGACCATTAAAATTGTCAATTGTTCTCTAACATGTATTGTGAAAATTTAACATATAAATTAAAATAAAATACGGACATTTAATTTAAAATTAATTAATATTAAATAAAATAATTCATGAAATATTTCCTTTTAAATAAAGATTTAAATATATAGCACAAGTGAACTTTGAGATTTGCTATGTATATAGCGTTTAATAGACCCGACTCACAACGCGTGGATCTCAAACTTGAATGAAACCATGTAACCCATTATGATACAATATGAAAATGTAAGATGTGGGATTGAATACAACCTCCAATAATTCCATTTTTTCTTTCATATTAAAAACACCAACCTTTTTTTTTTCTTTATAAAGAACAATTTTGCAAGCTGTGGTGTTCAAACCAACGGCACTTTTTTGCAAAAGATCTTAAGTCTTTCCCTTTCTCCTTAATTAACCTATCAGGCAAACCAGCCTTTTCACCATTTAAATGAGTAATTTTTTCTCTTATCCTATGTCATGCTGTATTAAAGCTGTAGGATGAAACTAAACCTAGCAAAATTAAACTCAATTTAAAAATCCAACTCAACTCATCTGGTAGAGGTAAGGTAGGATTATGAGTCTAAAATATTAATTCAAAATCTAATATGATTCAAATTGAAATAATTTAAATTCAACTGAGTTAGATTAAGGTCAGGTCGAATTAGGTCAACCCAAAATAACTTGATTAAAATTAGTTAATTTTTTTAAATTTAAAATTTTAATTAATTATATTTCTCGTTTTAATTTTCTAAAATAAAATTAAATACTATAAAATGGTTATTATTTATTAGATTATTATAATTAATATTAATTTAATAATTTTTTACTAAATAATTAATTAATATTAAATTTTTTTATTAAAATAGATAAAATATTGAAAAATTTTAATTTTAATTTTAATTTTAATTTTTAAAAAAGTTAAATTCACTCAATTCAATTCATGATCTATGTAGATGGATCATAAGTGTATCCCCTTTAATCCAAAATTTAAAATGATCTAATTTAATAAATCTAAAATTTGAGGTGATTCAATCTGAACTATTTGTCAGATCTAGATGTAACATATTTAATCATATTAAAATCATCCAAGAAAAATTTAATAATTTTTTATAGGCAAAATGCATGATTTTTTTTGACAAAAAATAATTTTATGCAAAATGTGTTAATTTTTTTGTAGTTTAATGGGAAGGTTTGGTTGGGTAGTGGAAAATCTTAATGGGAAAGGGCCGGGATTAATAATTTAGATTCTGTATATAAACAATCTTCAATTTGCCTTCTTTAATTATATATGGTCAACAATATCACCATGTTAGGCGAAATTTTATTTTTATTATAATACTTCTTTTAAACAGAGATAATTTTGGGACGGGGGAATGGGGATATAAGGGGATGACAATAACTGGGTTAGAACTTAAAACCCAAGTCATAATGCATTCTCACTCAGCCAATAATTACTCGTCCTACGTACAGCGTGAGATGTTGCTTTTCCTTTATTACCTATCTTAATTAGCTTTGATTATTCTTCACACTAAAGTCACCACTTGTACGTCGTTCTTAAGATTTCATTTTTCTTAGAGTAACTTTATGAGGAATAATGTATGCACACAATATTTTCTGGGTCCGTTTAGTTTATGAATGTATATTTGTAATTGTTTTTCTTAAAGAATAGGTTTAAAAAATGATGTTTAGTATAAGTATTCTTTTTTATAATTTAAATGATAAAATATAAACAATTAAACAAAAGTGTTTTTAATATTAAAAAATCTATTTTTATTTAATAATTTTTATTATATAATTTAAATTATACTATAATTTTTTACATTAATATTATCTCACACATGTTTTAAAGAAAAAAAAATTGTTGAACTGTCACGGGGATTAAGAAAGGGCAAAAGATTGTTCCAAAATCCAAAGTCATAGGTTGGTGAACCATCCGCGCCTCCTTATTCTACCCGTGCGCTCCTTTTTCATTCTAAAAACAGAAAGTCTCCCCCAGCCGCGGCGCGTGAAGAACATTCTATCTCACATTTTATTTTGCCGTCCAATATGTCAACAGTTAACGGGCTTACAGCATGACCAAAAAAAAAAAATGGTGTGCCGTGAGATGAATACAGTTCCATCTTCCATGGAGGTGAGAAAACAGATGCGATTAACTGCCACGTAACGGTTTCTGCGGACGTAATATTATTGTATTATTTCTGTCTTGCTACGTAAACGTAATCTAATTCCCCCTTCCAATTGCTTAACGACACGCGTCACCATCACACGTTCGCATGATGCTAGCGGCCAAGTCGCAGTTTTTTTTTTTTTTTAATTTGTAAATATATTTTTTATTATAAATTTATATTAAAAATAAGAATTAATCTTTAATTTATTAATTATTCAATTAAATTTACTTAATATTAAAATTAATATTAATTTTTATATTTTTTATATATGTTTATAATAAAAAATATAATAAAAACAGTATTATTTTATACTTTAAAAATAAAGAGTAGAAAAATTCTTTTTTAATTAATTATAGACGTATATATTTTTTTTGAACAATTTTGACATTATTTATAAGTATATATGGAGAGGGAACAAATGAATTCCATGGGGTTTGAACACGTCACCCACAAAAGTGAACAATTCTAACACATCACCCATAGAGGTGAACAGTTATAACTTAAAATCTAATACCACTAGACCGAAACGGATTATTCATTATAGGTGTATATTTAGCTTTAAAAAAAAGAGATGTTTGAAGAAAACAGAAGAGTGAGAAAAAAGGTTTTTTGTCTAATCATATTACAAAAGATTTGTCCTCTCATCACTTCTTTTCTGTTGTTTTCGAATTAAATATATTTTAAGATAAATTTTAATTACTGTTAAATTTAATTTTAGAGTTTTGTATAATTTATATATATATATATATTTTTTAATTATAAAAAAATATATTTTTTAGTTTTTTATTAAATAATTTATTAAGTGTGTCTATATATATATATATTTAGTCCTTAATTAAATTTTTAAGTTTTGAAAAATGAAAAAAAATATATAAAAAATTCAAAAGATAAAAACTATATAATATTTTAAAATTGAAGGATTAAAATTATTAACATTTAAGTATAAAATTACTTGTCAATATCTGATAACAGCCCGGCTTTAGAAATCTGCATCAATAATTGGATCAAGATTAATTTTGTCTGGCTGCTAAGTATTCGGTAACATAATGCTACTATGTGTCCACATTATAAGTGTCGATAAATATGGATGACCTCAAATAAAACGTCAAACTAATAATTATTGACTTTTTGGTTCAATGACCCCCGAATAGCACTGTAAGGTTTTGACCTTTTCATGAGGATTGAGAGAAGAAGCTGTTTTTCATTTATTGTTTTCTTTTATAAATTAAAAATTAGTATGTATCAATTTTAATTTTTTTTAAAAATTAAAGTATTCTTAATTTATATATAAAAATTAAAATTTTAATCAATTTTTAAAACTAAATATCAATATTTAATAAAATAAATTTTTAAATTTTAAATTAAATTTTAATTATATAAAATGACGTAATTTAAGTTTGGGATTTTAATTTTTTTTAGAATCAAAATTGATATGCATTTTTTTCTTTCTTTTATAAGAATTTTCATAAGGAGAGTTTTATTTATATATTTGATGATATTTATACAATAGAGGTCATTCTTTTTTTAAAAAAAATTTTTTCTTCCTTTGTTTTAAAATTTAAATTTAAAACATTTGATTTAAAATCTCAAATTCTTAATATTTAAAACTTAGACTTCATTGGAAAACACTTTTCAGTATTTTAGTTTTTGATTATTATATTTTATATTATTTGAAAAATATATAAAATGTTTATTAAAATAAATATTAAATATATTAAATACATTTTAGATGTTAGTGTGTATTAGTACCGACTCCAAAAAAAATTGCAATCCCAATCTTTATTTGGAAACTAAAATTCTATTTCAAAATTTGGAAATCCATCTTAATAAATATTGATATTTAGATTTGGAAACCAATTGTATTAAAATATATAATTAGTTTCCAAATTTAAATATCAACATTTAATAAGATAAATTTTTAAATTTTGAATTAAATTTTAATTAAATAAAATAATGTAGTTTATTATTAAAATTTCAATTTATTTTGAAAGTTAGAATTGATATGCACTTTACCTTATATATTATATATTTTTGAAATGTTAAAGAATTAAAAAAACCTATGGCTGCAGTTATAGGCCAACATTGTCAAATTAAGCCTTAACTGTTATGAGACAGACAAAGAGACTTTTAAGGGAAAGTGTTAATTAGTTATCTGGTATTTTGTTCTATCATAGTAAAGGAGATTTGATTACCTTATCTTGATCGGAGAATTATAATTAAGATCCTAACATGTGTGATTAATTGAGTTGTTAAGAATAGAAGTAATATTATAAGATAATCCATTTACTTTTCAGCTTGTCTTTTATAAACCAAAGAGTGTTTCCCCTAACAGAGTACAGTAGTAATTTATAATATTAGTTTCATAAATATAGTTACGCCAGCAAATTTCTTTTTTTTTTTTAAAAAAAAAAAAAAAAAGGTAAGAAGTTTGATTAATAGAGACAAGTATCGATGAGCATCTAAATTATAATAATATCAACCAAAACTTGAGGCTTCATATTGCTTTACTAATTGTGTCGACAACATATGTTTCAACCTCAAAAATTAAATTTATTAATATGCAAGTATCATTATATTTATTGAATTCATGATCAAGATTCAAATTAGAGATAAGTACCTAAGAAAATTTAATTTATTTAAATATTTTAAAATTTGAGGAAAATGTAAAGTGTGTCTTTAAAATTTTTCAAAATGAATTAATCCTAAGATGCAAACTGACCTAAGCATACTCTGCACGCCTCTCTTTTGTTGAACAAAATTCTTAGGATATATAAGCAATATAGACTTCTTCTTTTTTTTTTGTTGAATATGATCATCAAGCATGTTCCCCGAAGAATTTGGGCATGACGTACGAGTGTGTGATAGTTTACCTATTAATTGAATCTTACTTTATTATAAGATTCATCCACTAATCATCTGCCACCTTAAAATATACACACTTGTTTAATTAATTTTAGATAATAAGATTACACAAGCAAATAATTTTTTACTGAATTTTTTGATTTTATATCATTTGTCTGGTATACAATGAACATGTTCACACATTATAGTACAGAAAAAAAAAAAATCTTAATTCTAATAGAGCATGTGAAAAATTAAGATGTATTGATAGTAAAATCATCAAAATGTACAATCAAAATCACTTAATAAATAAGATATAATATAAGCCTTACTTAAGTCATAGTTGTAATTAGTTATTTTTGCAATTTTAATGTTAAAATATCTTAATTTTCACTCTTTTTACTCTAATATACTCTAAACTTGGTAAATTCTTAGAAATTTATTTAATTCTCTAAACTTGATATAAATATTAATTAAAAGCTTAATCTAGCAAGATGATGAGAGCAAGTGTTGAAAAAGTGATTTTAATATTAATTATCTTGTGAAACTTGGCAAGTTCTTGGGACTTTACTTACTATCATCAATATTTCTGACTTTCCGGAGCTGCCCAATTGATAATATCTAAGTTGACTTAGCGCTATTCGCGGTAGGGGAGCAGGATTAGTCAGGTGTACCAACATTACATTGCCAGTTATATGACTATTAACACAGTGATTACCGAATTGCCTAATTAAATTAATCAATGGGGCAGTCCTGACACCTAAGGGTCTGTATTTAGTTGAAAATGATATATATAATTTTTGGCAAATGATTGATAAACTCTCAGTTCAACATACTTTTTTATACACTTTCAATTTAATAATTAAAAATATAATATAAATATAATTTATTCAATTATTTTTGTATCTTGTATATATAATTATATCATTAAATTTATTTATTTTTAATTTTAAATTAAAAATAATAATTTTTTAATAAACATATCATATAATATATTGAATCAGAGTGCGTACTTAACATTATCCACAATTTTTATTTCACAATTGTTAACATATTTTAGAGCCCTCTATTGCATATAGCTATAACTCCATATACATAAGACAAAAAACATTTTCCAATAATAGAATGTGGTACATTTTCTCATTATTAATCACCCCCCTCTTTTTTTTTCTTTTTTTTGTTTATGATATTCAATTATTGAATTTTAGGTTCTGGCAATAGAGTTCTCGACACGGCTAATCCTCTGTGTTTTCAGCGGCTATGTGATTGTACTTCAACCAAAAATGAGAAATGGGCCCAACATCCATGCATCTATAATTGATATCCCATATCTATGAAGCAAAGAGAGTGCAGAAAAATATCAGAGATTAATTCAAGTGAAGAAGCAACCTCTGGATTTTCTAGAATAAAAAATGGGATACCACCATTCCTTGTGCTTCATTCATACACTTGGCTTGCTTCTGTAAGAAAGTGGACCATTGCTCTTGATTCAGGCCTTTCGGACAATCAAAACCAACAACTTTCTCGGTCAGTGTTAGTGCTGTACAGATGGCTTGTTTCTGAAACACACTCTAAGACAGGGACTACGTACCAAACAGATGCAAGCCAACAGTCAGCAGTACTCATCAGACATGTACAAGTAATCTCGTCTACTACCTCTAACAATGTCTGAAAGTTGAACCTAGATTATTTTTTTTTAAATGATTTTGGGTTCACCGTTCATGCGTATTCTAGCGGCTATATATGCATGGTCATAGAAGCTATTGGTACATCCGTCTGGACTGATGTTACAACCAGCTACAGTAACTGAGCTTAATCATGCAAGGATTTTGCATTTTGTGTGATACGTGTCACGGTGTCAGAGTTCTGGATATAATCATTGGATTAAGATTTGTAATATGGACAGTTGTTGAACAAGTCCTGTTTTCTGGGATGACCCCAGAGATAGATCTATCTTGTCCTAAAAAGGAAAGTTACAGATGTGTTAATTTCATATTTTACTATTGAGATTTTCTTCAAAAACAACTTGTGCTTCAATGATAATTTTCTTTTCTCTTAAAAAAAATTAGTAATAAGTTAAAAGTCATGATTTTGAGGTGAACGTGATGGTTGTGAAGAGGGCAAAGAATGGAGACAAGGGGATAAAAGGTTATTTCTTATTGTGCAATAAGGATACTAAGCATAAACTTGTACTCTTATAAAGTGCCCACTTTTTTAAAAAAAATTATACAAAAATATTATAGTTATATTAGAATTTTAAATTTATAATTATAATATATTATTAAATAAATAAATTTATATAATATCATACGTAAATTTTTGAGTAATAATTAAGCAAATTATATAACAATATATTATATTATAAATTTATAATATTATATAACATTGTAATAATATTATTTCAAAAATTATATATTTTTTATTAATCATCATTTTTTTATGGTAAGATCCATATAATTTTTTTCGTTTGGCTAGTGTAGTAAAATGCACGTTTAACGAATTTAAGTTGAGTTGAGCTGAGCTCGGTTCCTGAAAAAATGTAAAGCTCAATATTGCAATGAATTTGGGCTGACTCAATGTCTGAGCCCAAATTTGAAATCCAAATTTCCAGCAGCCCATATAGTCTGTGGCTTTTTTGTTTTGTTCCTCAAGTTCAAGAAATTTGGGCTGGCTCTCAATGCCTAACCCCATAATCGAAATCCAAATTTTCACTGGCCCATTAAATCCATCTTGTTCCTCAAGTTCAAGAAACCAGAAGTACCTGAAGCCCCGAATTCTGAAGTCACCGATCGGCGAAACAGTATTTCACCTGCAGAAATGGAGTTCGTACCTGAAGAAGGCAAGCTTCCGAACAAAGATTGCTCCACTCTGCTACTGGTTTGTTCCGCTTCTTTTCTTTTCCTCGTTTTCTTTTTCTCTTCGTTGGATTAGTCACTCCACCTTCTTCGATCCGCTCCATGGTCGTCGCGAGAGAATTAAATAGAAGAAAGAATTAGGACAATCGAATATCAGATTCAGAGAAACAAACGAAGAATTGAATTTAGGATTGTCTGATTTCTATGTGTCTGATGTTTCACTTTTTTGTTTCTTCGTATGTTTTAGCCTGCATTGTCGATTGGGAATGTGGGGCAGTTGGCAGTTGATTTGTTGGTTTCATCGACTAGGGCAGAGAGGATTGGGTACTTAGATGATCTGTTTGTGCTTCCTTGTGTTGGTAATGATGCTTATGGGCCAATTCCTTGCGGCGATCTGGCTCTACCCCTTGAAGGTTCTTGTTCTATCAACATATACTGAATATGGTTGAATTTTGATGTGTTTGTGATTCCAAAAGCATAGAGTGAGTAGCTTATTGCTTGTTGTGTTTGCAGCTTATGAGTCCTCTTCTAATGCATTGACTCTTGTCCAACAAAGGTCCCCAGTTATGAAGGTATTGAATTAGTTCTTCTATTTTGGTTTCTATTTCCGTGATAGGTCGTGGAAATTCCTATATTGTAGGAAATGAATGACAAGGACAAACTACACAAAGTAAACACATTTGGAGCTAATTAGATACTGGTTAATGCAGGGGTCTTTGTTTTTCAAAATTGAGCTTTACTTTCAGTATATGGTTTAGGCATTTATTACTGCTCGTCAAGTTCATTCTAGGGTAGGATATCAATAAACATGGACATATTGATGCAGTGACCACTTAGGCACCTCACTTATATGTAGGAAAACAAGGCAGAATCAGAATAGGCTTTATTTTTTCTACCAAAGATTTTCTTTTTGAGTTTATGTATTATTTTTTGTTTTTGTTGAAATCTTGCATAAGTGGTTTCTTTATTATTATTATTTTTTTTGCTTGCAATCTTGCTTTTGATGACTTCTAATGTGTAGATATCATTAAAAAGGTATTTAGGAGGTCTAAGGATTAATGAGTCTGACTTAAGGAATGTTAATAACAAACATTTGTGTGATTGAGTAATTTATTTTTTATACTAGATGATTTTATACCTTTTGGTTGCTTCCTAGAAACAACTAATCAACACTTCTTTGTCCATTGAGAACTTTCAAGTTCTTTCTGGTCTTCCTTGGTTTCTATAAAAATATCAAGATTAGTATTTTTAGCAGTAATTTCATGTAAGCTTTGCTGAATTTGTAAATGGTCATGTAAACAGGGTATGCTGGTTGACTTTGCGAAGCACTTGGCAAATTTTGCTTCTACCACAGGAAAAAAGCATGTGGTTCTTCTTTCTAGCTTAGACTTTGGAAGGTGGCAGAAAATTGATATGTCAAGGTATTCAGATCAGAAAATTTTGTTCAGTTAAGCTTTGATATGCGCCTTGAAATTCTATTTCTGCTCAAAATACTAATTTTGTGCCAATTAAAGAACTGTATTGAGATGTCTAGTCAACCGGTGAAACTAGTGAGTCCTTTGTTTGCATTGTAATGTTATGAAGCAGTTTTGAAAATGAAATTGTATACTTCATTTTATTTGATTCTCCCCCCCTCTATATTTGATGTTCTGTATCCCATCACAATAATTCTTCAATTTTCCATGTTTTATTTGTATTAGAAAGCTTTGAGACTGGCTTTACCATTTGAAATGATATAATAACCCAAGTTTGATTGCCCCAGAGAATAAGCCTTGAGTTGCTGGGAGGAGGAATTCTTGTTGAAGCCTGACCAAAAATTGAACTCGTATTGAAACAATTAGTAGAAAGTTTTGCAAGTTAATTGATTTATATCTGAATTTGGTGTCCCAAGCAGCCTTCTTGGCCACTATCTGAGACATTATCTGCATTCTCCTTTGCATGTTGTCACTGTTTCTCCTTGGCTATGGTTTCAGTGGACCCCAGATATATTACCTATCCAGCGTCAATCCTGATGGAACAGATCATCACTGTGAACAATTTGGGTGGAAAAGGCTGCAGGAGTATGACCCTGCTCAGAGGTGTTGGAAATATCTTAGCAGCTTAGCTGAAGAAAATAGTATGCGAGACAACAATCTACCCTTTGATGATGAGCTGGAAGAGGAAGATTACTACCCCAGTTTGCCTTTTGCAGCAGTATTTTCTTGTTTGAAGGTAATGCCTATGTTTGAGAATAAGTATAATGTGGAATTCTTGCATACAAATGCCCACTGTATTATGCTGTATTACATTACTATTTTGGCCATTCAAAGATTATATTCTTTCTTCTATAAGTTCAATTATTGGGGTGGGTTTCTGCTACTTGTTTTATTTTTTGGAAAGGCCCTACTTGAGTACTTGGTTTAAAAATGAGTTATTCAATGCTTCTCTTTATGATCGTGTTTGGTGCTACATTGAGCACTTGTATAAAGTCTACTCCCTTCACTTCTTATTATGCGCTAACCAACATTTGCTTTACATAGAAGTTGGGCTCTTGTTGTTGTGGGTTGTAAGTGTAATAACAGTTTCTTAGGTTTGTCTTGTCTTAAAATTGAATAAATAAAGAACGGAATACTTGTGTGGATTGTGATTCAACTGTATCATTATTTTATGGCAAAAAAAGAAAAGGAAAAAAGAAACTGTTTCACTGTTTCAACTTAGATTTTATGGTAGCATCATTAACCATTAATTTCTCTTGTTCTATGTGACAAACTGGAAGTTATCTTTTACTTTTGATGATTTTGATGATGTGATTAGCTACGGAAACCTGATCAATTCTGACACTAATAGAAATTTTGGATTGCCTAATCAGGCAAAGGGTTTGAAGGTTACATGCTTGTTATGTTACTGCTCGGAAGGAGATAACATACCTGATGCTTTCAATTTAGCAGAGGCAGCATGCAAACTACTGGGGCTAAGCCCCCGAAACTTTCATGGTTAGTTTCCTATATTCTTTCACACTGTTACACCACGGGCCAAATTTACTGTACTTAATCATTTGCTCCTGCCCATGATAGACGTATTCTAAATGATTTGAAATTTTACATGTAATTCCTTTTTTTTTTCTACTATTATTGTTATGGTTTTAAAGGAAAGCTCTGCATATTTTTTGGTGGTCTTTTTTCCCCACACTCTAATATCTTATTTATATGCTTGGATAGATTGCTAATATCTTGCAGTTGAAGAACATCAAGTATTGAAAACGTTTTTTAATTGTTTTAGGTGATGAGAGTGGTAACTGGCTCATCCCTTTCTCATGGAAGACTGTATATGGGCCACCACCAGATCTGTCCATTTTTTAGGCTTGATTGACACATAACCATCCAAGGTAAAAGTTCCAAACGCATGCCATCTATATTCTAATTGTGGAGATTTAATCCATTGTTTTGAGAACAACATAGAAAGTTTTGGTGGGCAGGAACACTGGGGGCATTTATTATTACTTTGTGGAAGCAGGAAAGTAAAGTACTTACGTGTTTTAGTAAATGTATATTTGCCTCTCTGACTTAAGAACTTAAACTGTCTTAAAGAACTTTTAATGAATTCCAATTTGCACCAAAAAAAAAAAAAAAAACTATCTTAGGGTGTGGTTTGCAGAAAATAATTTTATTTTAGAAAATATCTTTTATAAAAAAAATATTTTCTTTTCTGATGTTTAGAATATTTTGAAAAAAAATTTTAAGTAAAATATTTTTCGTTGTTTGGTAAACTATCAAAAATCTTTGAAAGTTTTAAAGTGTGCATGAACAAGCAAAAACCGCTACATTGCATGACCAAATTAGGATGTGTTCCCCAACCCACGTAACCTCCTAAAATATCAAACGTGATTGTCCATCGAAAGGGACAACAAACAAAGCCTGCAATCAAAACGGGTTGCATTGCAACTATTTCTTAACTTCTAAAATGCAGTTCAACTCAATTGTTTCTCATGGAAAGAGCCTGCAGCATAACCAATAATTAACACAATTTAACACAATTTGAATAAATTTAAACTTCAAATTTCGGAAATAAAATAGAACCATAAGTTTAAGACAAATAGACATTTCATCGAACAACTTACGTGCAGACCCCAAAATTCATAGTTCTAACAAAAACCCATATACAAATGTAAACAAATTAAACCTTAAACATATGATGTATATGAAATCTCATGCAAACCCATAGAGTCGAGTCTTTAAACATAGGCATAAACATACAGAGTAGCTGAGAGAGTTTTACCATGCAGATGATCAGAGTGAGTGCGCTAGTGGCACAAAATGGAGCAAGAAGAGGTGTTGTGCTCAATTGCGATCTAGCCACGAACCAGAAACAAAAGTCACCTTGCTAGAGTAGTAGGTTAGGTCCGCGTGTTTTTTGAGGATGGAAAATAACTTCCAAAATTTTGATCCGGAAGTTGT